AACTTATCACAAAATGGGCCCGGATAAGTTGGCCACTTGTCTGCACCGACTGATTGTCAGGATCTGGGATACAGAACAGCTACCCGAGGAGTGGAAAGAGGGAGTAATATCAACAATCAATACGAAACTAACGATTTTAAAATGGCTCACTTGACTAGCCTATTGGTCCCAAGCAAACGATTAACGTACCCCATTCTACTACTACAAAATATTTGTTTTGATTCGCTATGAAAGTTTGACAGATAAAATGAGGGGTTAGTGGATTTTCCTATGTTTCGAGGGGTGAATCGATTAGCTTGGGACCGAAGATAGTACCAGCGGTGAGCCAAAAAATTGAGCACGTTATTTCGAGACCTTCTAGTCTTAGAGTTACCGTCGACTTAGGCAATTCCTGGAGTCTAACAGTCTCCTTGACGAACGGCAGCATGCATTCCGGCAAGGACATGGCTCCTCCACTTACTTTGCAGCCCTCGGGTATGTACTCAAGGAAGCCCAGAACAACGGTCACCATGCGGAGTTAGTATCCCTTGATATATCAAAGGCGTTCAACAGGACGTGGACGCCTGGCGTCATCAGACAGCTCATCGGCTGGGGCCTGAAAGGCCACATCACGCACTTTGTACGGAATTTCCTCCTTGATCGTACCTTCCAGGTGACTGTAGGGAACACTCGATCGGATCCGTTCCCCGAGGAAACTGGAGTGCCCCAGGGATCCATCATAGCGGTTACGCTATTCCTGGTGGCAATGAACGGGGTGTTCAGCCGACTGCCCAAGAACGTGCACGTAATCGTCTATGCCGATGACATACTCATCGTCGTAACGGGACGAACGACTAAACGGACCAGGAATATTGCCCAAGCAGCTGTCTCCGCCGTCAGCAGGTGGGCGCTTTCTGTTGGTTTCCAGCTCTCCGCTCCAAAGAGTGTACGGTGCCATATCTGCCACTCGGGCCATCTGATTCGGGAACCACCGATCACCATCCAGGACCATCCAATTCCGCTTAAGAAAACAGTACGTGTTCTGGGGGAAGTTCTGGATAGGACTCTAAGTTTCGACCAGCACTTCAGATCGGTGAAAGAAAACTGTCGTAGCCGCATCAACATCGTCAGGACAATCTCCCGCCCGCACCGCTCCAGTAACCGCGAGATCCGCCTTCGTGTCGCCCGGGCTGTTATTGACAGTCGACTTTTCTACGGCATTGAAATTACCTGCTTAGCCACCGAGAAGCTGAATCGCATCCTCGCTCCGGTATACAATACCTACGTACGCATCGTATCCGGCCTTCTACCTTCCACGCCTGCAGACGCTGCTTGTGCGGAAATCGGAGTCCTCCCTTTCCGCTATCGATCTGCTGCAGCTACTGCTACGAAAGCCGCTGCCCTCGCTGCTAAGACATCCGGGAATGATAGGGTTTTTCTCCTCAACGAGGGGAACAGAGCCCTCCACACTGCAGCCAACCTTGACCTCTCCCCGGCGGCCAGGGTCCACTGGCATGGAGAGAAAAGTTGGCGATCTAACGTTATCAAAATAGATAAGCGGATTAAGAGAGGATTCCAAGCCGGAGATAACTCTGTAGCGTTGAGGCGTTCAGTTGCAGAACTTTTTGGGTCGGTCTATCCGGGGCACGTTAATCGCTTTACGGACGGATCGCGATCACGGGCTGGAGTGGGACTCGGAGTGGCAGGACCAAACTCCGCAACAAGTCAAAGTCTACCGGAGGAGTGTTCCGTTTTTTCCGCAGAAGCCGCTGCTATTCTTGATGCAGCCATCACTCCTGCAGATCAACCGATCCTTGTGCTAACGGACTCACACAGCGTCATCCAGGCGCTGGAAGCCGAATCCCCGCGCCACCCCTGGATACAAGCCATTACACGATATGCCCCACCCTCAACCGTTTTTACGTGGATTCCCGGGCACTGCGGTGTTCCTGGAAATGAGGCTGCGGACAGGCTGGCGGGATCCGGTCCATCTGGTCCCCGCTTCACCAGGAACGTACCACTCGTAGACGTCAAGCGTTGGATCGCGAATATTATCATGGAAGCCTGGCAGGAGGAATGGCTTCAGTCGCGGACCACTTACCTGATAAAGATCAAAGAAAGCGTACAAGGACCAACGGATCATTTCAAGACTCCGGACCGGCCATGCTAGGATTTCCCACAATTTTGGTGGGGCACCCTTCCACAAGGTTTGTCCAATCTGCAGCATCCCTGCCTCGGTGGAACACGTGCTGTGTGTCTGCCCAGAGTTTCAAAGGCTACGCGAACAACACCGACTCCCAGAGAACATCAGGGAGCTACTTGGCAACGACCCCTCGACGCTGGCTGCGCTGATTGCTTTCTTGAAGGACGCCCACCTGTACAACCAAATCTAGCACTCTTGTCGTTGGCTGCGCTGTCCGTGTTCTTCCACCTTCCTATTTTCCTGTCGTCGGGGTATCTCTGCCGGACTGGGGCACTGTCTCTTACGGTGGAGCTCTACCTTGTTCGCGTATCCATTCCTCACCACAGTCCCGATGTAACTCCCATTTTACATTAAGTTTTTTTTTTAAATGTTGTTTCAGAGCCAGTTTTACGTTACGTTAATGTTAGACTGAAACGTTTCCTTAGAGGCAGGCCTTAAGCCTCACCTTCTACTATCAAATGTGATGAACTAGCCTACGGCTAAAAATCACAAAAATTAAGAAAAAAAAACCTCTATGGTAATATCATAGAGGTAACTTGCTTGTTGGTAATATGCCCAGTATATAAAAAAGACGACAAACTAAAATGTGAGAACTATCGAGCGATCACTATTCTTAACGCGGCCTACAAAGTGCTTTCCCAGATCATCTTTCGCCGTTTATCGCCGCTAGCAAGCAGATTTGTGGGAAGTTATCAAGCCGACAACGGACGTAATTTTTACGTTGCGGCAGATCCTCCAAAAGTGTCGTGACTATCAAGTCCCTACGCATCACCTATTCATCGATTTCAAGGCCGCCTATGATACAATTGACCGCAAAGAGCTATGGAAGATTATGAACGAGAACAGTTTTCCCGGGAAGCTGACCAGACTGATCAGGGCTACGATGGATGGTGTACAGCGCTGCGTTATCGGACTCGTTTGAAACTCGCAAACGACTTCGACAAGGCGATGGTCTTTCCTGCCTCTTGTTCAACATTGCGCTAGAAGGTGTTATGAAACGTGCGGGCTTCAACATGCGGGGCACGATCTTCAATAAGTCCAGCCAGTTCATCTGCTTCGCTGACAACGTGGACATTGTCGGAAGAACGTTTCAGGTCGTGGTGGAGCAGTACACCAGGCTGAAACGTGAAGCAAAGAAGGTTGGATTAAAGGTGAATACGTCGAAGACAAAGTATCTGTTAGCTGGAGGAACCGAGCGGGATAGGGCCCGCATAGGCAGAAGCGTGACAATCGACGGGGATGAGTGGGATGAGTGGTGGATGAATTTGTGTACCTCGGATCATTGGTGACGTCGGATAACAACTGCAGCAGAGAAATTCGTGGGCGTATTATTGCCGGAAGTCGTGCTTACTACGGACTCCACAAGACCCTGAGGTCGGGTAAGCTTCACCTCAGTACTAAATGTACCATGTTCAAGACGCTGATAGTTCTCTACGGGTACGAGACGTGGACGATGCTCGAGGAGGACCTGCAAGCACTGGGTGTTTTCGAACGACGAGTGCTTAGGACCATCTTTGGCGGGGTATGTGAGAACGTTGTTTGGAGGCGAAGGATGAACCACGAGCTGACGCAACTCTATGGCGAACCCTGTATCCAGAAAGTTGCGAAAACTGGACGGGTACGATGAGCGGGACACGATTTAAGAATGCCGGACAACAATCCCGCAAAAATGGTGTTTGCCTCGAATCCGGCCGGTACAAGACGAAGAGGAGCGAGCAGCGAGCAAGGTGGTTAGACCAAGTGGAGCAGGATCTTGGAAGTGTGGGACGGTCAAGAAATTGGAGACAAGCAGCCACGGACCGAGTGAATTGGCGCAACATTGTGATGCAGGTGCAATCCTGAGGGATGTCTGACCAGGATAAGTAAGTAACCGAACACCCTGGATAGTTCGTTCGATCATCGGCGAGTACTGAGGAAGGTCCCATAAAAGGACCGAAACATCAGCGATGATCGAATAGTAGTCAACGCAATTTATTTGAGACTGAAGCCGAAAATACCAATCTTTGAGTATATGGACCTTATTACGGGTGTCACTTCACGGTGAATACGAAATGAAGTGACAATTTTTTCACTCGTATTCACCGTGAAGTAAACACCCGTAGTAAGGGCCTATATCTTCTGGTTTGAAACGACCTGAAATGTGCCTTAGTTTTTTTTTTAGTTTTCGAGGGCCACAATAACTCGTCTCTTCTTATGGCCTTTCATTGTTTGGCCCTTTATCCCTTTATAAGGCCGAGGCATTTTTTGGACCCAATGATTTCTGAGAGGTGAAATTTTGACTGTTGATTGATAAACTATTCAATGAATAGTTTATCAATCAACAGTCCAAATTTCATAGTATTCATGTAGTGTAGTTTTGAGCTGTCGGAAGTTAGTGCAATTTTAGTAAAACCAGAGACAAACAGAGATAACACTCACAATCATATTCTTCGAAAATAAGGTTTTACTTGAGAATGTGCTCGCATTTGACATGGTGGCGCCGTTAAGCAAGCCACCACAATTCAAATCTCCGCGTACATCGTACGGGTTAGGCAAAAGGTGTGCGTTTGACTTTGTGCTGTCGCATTAATGGCCCTTCGCTCATTTTCAACTTCTATTCAATTTTCATACTGCCGTACTCTAACGGAACTATCCACCTACCCTCTTCTAAGACCATTCTCTAGCTAATGAATTATCACACTAAAGCTTTACGTTAGATAGCATTTCCAACCAACTCTGAAAATCGCGTATGAAGTAACATAAAAACACTTTGACACCAAACAGCTGCACATTGGTTATTACGCTTGTTATTATATTACGCTATACGAATACCACTTACCAAAGCTGTGGCGGACGATCTCCCTGGTTGTTCATTTGTAACTTGATATTCCTGTTCTTGCAGCATTGTTTCCTCTACTTTAATGTCCAAATCAAGATTAATATTCTCGACACCGTTTTGCTCAGTGCAAACTGCGCCTTCGATATTCACGTTGCCTAAATGTTTGTCACCACGATGAACTCGTTTTTTGTGCTTCTCTACTCTGCTGAGGAGGTTAAACTTTTGACCACACAATTCACATGAATGTTTTAAGCTGGCACAACTTGCCGCATGCTGTTCTGATCTAGTTTTAAAATGAAATTTCCTCGAACAATGCGGACATTCGAACTTTGCTTCCGTGTGGTTTGTCACCTGAAATGAACGAGAATTTAAAAAAAAAAACAGTATTGCAAAGAAAAAAAAATCAATTTAACCAACGTACCATATGATAATTGATTTGGTAATAGCTAGAAAAATTAATGCCACAGATGTTGCACGAAAATAGATGCTTTGATGCATTATCAACCAATGGCTGCGAGGGTTTCTCTGGAACCACCCGGGGTTCTTTTTCGATAGTTTGGCTGTCCATTAAGTCATCATCGTTCAAATTAGCCGAAGAATGCTCATTCGATCGAGAATCTACAAGAGAACCAATATCTTCGTAATTATTCGTTATTCTATATTAAATCGAACTTTACGCACCTGAAACATCAACTTTGGAGGATAGATTAACCGTTGATTGTCCTTGATCATCACCAACCATTTGCAGATCATTGCTGCTCTCATCTGGATGACATTGCTTACTATGCCGCTTGACTGAGTGGGGTTGTTTGAACGTACGTCCACATAATTTACATGAATACCTATTATTTTTCTGGACTAGTTCTTCATCTTGGACGATCTGTAGATTTGCCAAACTGCTCTCACCTGGATGATATCGCTTATTATGGAATTTGATTGAGTGGGCTTGTTTGAACGTGCGTCCACATAATGTACATGAATACATCTTATGCTCACACAGAAAACAATGATCGTTATATTTTGTTTTGCGGTGAAACTTTTCCCCACAAGTTGGGCACTCGTACTTCGGTTCAAGGTGACATTTTTTCTGCATTAAACAATGAAGATTACATAACAATATAATCACAGAAACAATTTGAAAGTGCAATCAAACCTGATAGCAATTGACAAAAATTAATGCAACAAACCTTATGATTGTTGGACGGTGATATACCAAGAATAGTTATTCCGCAGATATCGCATTTGGTCAGCTCATGGCTTATTTGCAGGTGATGATTTAAAAGCCCTGGACTGAACAATTCTTTGTTAGTACAGTAGTAACATTTTGTTTGGGATAAGCCGCTTTCAACAAGAGGCGGTGCAATTTTCTCCATTCCGGATGGAGAATCACTCTCATCGCATAGACTCGACTCGGTATTCTTCAGCTTTTCCTCCTTGCTCTTTATATATGCACGGCAAACGACGCGCCAATGGTTTTTAACAGCTGCTTCATTTTCAAACATTCTACCACAAAACTCGCAGGGAATGATTTTTTTCTCACATTTGGATACATGCTTTATTAAGGTCAATCTCCCGGGAAACCGCATCGAACAATGTATACATTTGAGCTTCGAGTACATGTGCTTCGTTTTCTGTATTGAACGATAAAGGCATTGGAGTGTAGAGAAATTTAAGAACATTCAAAACTCAGTTTACAAACCTTATGATGCTGAGCCTGGACAAGACTGGGCAAAGTAAGTCCACAGAGATCACATGCGACTGGATCATGGTGGACTAGAATGTGACGACCTAGGGCGGCAGCACTAGACTCTTGTAATCCACAGTGGGAACATTTGGTGCGGGATGCTTTACTCGAAGGATTCTCTGCCGCCTCTTGTGGGTCACTGCTGTCTTTCAGGGTGAGTTCAATATTCTTACCTTGCGGAACATTCGTGGACTCAGTTTGAACTTTCTCTTCCTCTGCGCCACATTGAGAATCATCGTGCTCTTTAGCGGGCTTAGGACAGGTTAGCTGAAATAGACATTAAATAAATACAAAAATAGAATATTAATCATTTATAACCATACACACCTTATGTATTATGAGCTCATCAATACTGGCGAACGTCATGTTGCAAACGATGCAAATAGTCATCCCATGAGCCGCATCTCTCTTCTGCTTTCGCTCTGCAGTGCAATCAGCGTCTTCAATTTTCGCTTTCGATTTATGTTTGTTGCCACGATGAACTCGTTTCTTGTGCTTCTTTAAACTTTTTAGGTATTTGAACTTTTCACCACACAATTTGCATGAATATTTTAAACGTGCACAACATGAAGAATGTTTTTGGAGCCTCTCTTTAAAGTGAAATTTCTTCGGACAGTGAGGACATTGGAGCTTTCCTTCCATGTGTTTTATCAGCTGAAATTAATTGGAAACAGTATTACAAAGAGATGACAAAAACGTCTGTTTAACCAACGTACCATATGATAGTTGACTTGCTTGTAACTAGGGAAAATATCGCCACAGATTTTGCATCTCTCTGATTCCTTGTCGATCCCTTGGCTATCCATTGAGTCATCATCGTTCAAGTTATCCAATGAAAGCTCATTCAATTGAGAATCTGCAAAAGAACCAATTTCGTCGTAATTATTCGTTTTTCTATCTTAAGTCAAACTTTACCCACTTGAATCATCATCTTTGGAGGATGGATTAACCGTTGATTGTCCTTGATCATCACGTGCCGATATCGTAGTTTCGCCTGCTATGATTTCCATTTGCAGATTTTCCAAACTGCTCTCATCGGGATGATATAGCATAGTGTGCCGATTGAGTGTGCCCATTCTTTTGAACATGCGATCACATAATTTACATGAATGCATCCCTTGCTCACACAGTAACCAATGTGCATCATATTTTGTTTTGCGGTGAAACTTTGTCCCACAAGTTGGACACTCGTATTTCGGTTCTGTGTGGGATTGTATCTGCATTGTATAATGAGTACTGTATAACAATATGTCAAAGATAAAGTTGCAATCAGGCTTTGCAGACACAAAAAAGGAACTGAAAGTTATTATATTTTATCTAAACATCGATATCAACTACACCCTTCTCTGTGTAAAAAATGTCATTGAAAGACAACAAAGTAGCCAAAAGTGCATAGAAGTCGTACGGAATACTGTTACTGATCTTAAGTTAAAACGCAACCTTAACCAGCTATTGTTGTCTAATGAAAATATGAAATTTCGTGTCATGAGTGCTTATTCAATGATAAAATACAATAACTACAAAGAATTCAACTTCTTAAAAATGATTTCTGATTGCAACAAGTAACAATTTGAAAATGCAATTAAGCCTGAGAGCATTTGTGTAAAAACGAGTGCAACAAACCTTATGATATCTGTTTGCTGATATACCGAGAATAGTTATTCCGCAGATTTCACATTTGGTCAGCTCATGGCAAATTTGCAAGTGACGATAGAATTGCCCTGGACTGGGAAACTCTTCGTTGCAGTAGTAACATTTTGTTTGGGATTTACCAAGAGGCGATGTCTCGGAATTATTCTGCTTTTGCTCTTTGCTCATTTTGTATACACGGCAACCGTTTCGTCTATGTTGGCTAGAAATTACATTTTCATACATTTTACCACAAATCTCACAGGGAACTGTCTTTTTCTCACATTTGGATACATGATTTTTAAAGTGCATTCTCCCGGTAAACTGCATCAAACAATGTGAACATTTGAACGTCACTGTCTTGTGCTTCGTTGACTGTATTGAACGATAAAGGCAGTTCATTAGAGTATACACAGAAATTTAAGAACAGACGAATCTCAGTTTACAAACCTTATGCTGCAGAGCCTGGGAAAGACTGGGTAAAGTAATTCCACAGAGATCACAAGCGACTGCCTCATGGTGGATTAGAATGTGACGAGCTAGTGTAAAAGCACTGGATTCTTCTATTCCACAGTGGGAACATTTGGTACAGGGTCCTACATTTTTAAGATCTTCATTTGCATTACTGCTCTGCTCTCCCAGCGATAGTTTCAAATGATCAGCATCAGAAGTCGTATTTCCAACTATCATAGGAACTGGTTTCTCTTCCGGGGCAATAAAGTCCGAGGCTACCGTTTGATCCCTGGCCTTACAGTGACTAAAGACATGATCACTCTTAAGCTTTTCGGATCGAAAGTTTTCCCCGCAATCAGAACACCGCACAAAGAAGCCATCGTGAACGTCCTGCAATACGATCCAATTATTCTACATACCTACTATATACTATGTCATTTGTATTGGAATACTTACATGGACGTGCTTCCAGTAAAGACTCTCGGAATAAGCACGTTGATCATTACATAGAACACATTGATGTAATTTGTGTTTTGCTTTTATTTCCTGATAGTGCAATTCCTTACTTTCATCTGCAATCTTTTGACGAAAACACCATGTTGATATGGATCGTTCATAAAACGAATTCTTCATTGATCTCTTCTTACCTCATGCAAATCCAGATGATTCCACAGTCCTTCCTTGCTCACATAGTCCCCGTGGCATAGGGAGCATCGGAACATCAACCGTAGCACACACATCTCCCGATGCAGCTCCAAATCACCTTCCTGGTACTCCTCAAGACAGATTTCACATTCGATCATTTTTGGCTTGGATATTTAACAGGCTTGATTCAGCGGTTGCACAGTGGCAGTGGCACAACTCTGGAATGTAAATACTTGTAACAATGTTACAGCATTTTATATTTTAAGTTTAGATTAAATTTAAATTTAAATTTTAGAAGAACAATATTGATATCATTGCTCTGCCAGATATGCAAACTTTAACACGCTCGTTCAATGTTACTCAAAAGTGAGTAACATTCCATTCATTTTCGTTGAAAGTGGATCTACCGTAAAGTGAGTAATCCCATGTTGTTTACTCATTTTTAAGGAATGGATGCATATTTGTCAAAATTTGAGAAGCATTTATTCAGTTCTGGTTTTCGCAACATAAGCTCTACTGAGTAAAAGTAACTCAGTTTTGATTAATTTGAAATTATTCAGGATGTGTTATAAAATGTTATCGAGACCCTGCTTGAAGCTCGGCTTGAAGTGAAACGTAAGAGTTTTATTTTATTACACGATAAGAATGTAATAAGTTCTTTTCGCTCATCTCGTATTTATAGCGCCGGAACCCAAAAGTAGGTATGATTATACTCAACGTTGGGTTCCCACACTTTACTACCCCTGTTGGGTGATTTTGCTCCTCCGTTTGTGACAACATTAGACGGAGAAAAGGAGACAAACTACTCTGCTATCTGACCTATAACAAATATACGAGTACCCCGAATACAACGTATAGTTCGTCTAATTTTACCTACTGTTAATATTTCCGAAGTTTCACTGAACGTAGAATATTTCACACTTTGAACACTTTTGTGGGACTTTACTTTCGATTCCGGAGTGCATCGAATCTTCTCGGACGTTTATGACTGTTTTCACGGAGAACAAATTCGTTAAGTTAAGATAACAATCCTAATAGTTACTTTCAGATGGAAAAATATTGTTTTTTGAAAGAAACCTATAGTTATTCCAACATTAATTTGACCGTCAACTCAATCATATCTACCTAATAGATTCAACTGTTCATCTTATACTCAATTCAACTATAACTTTGATCAATTATAACAACCGTCAAATGTAATTTATTTATATAATTTGGTTTCAAGTGATCATCATAAATTCACATACTTTTGACTTGTGATGCGTAGATCAGGCGATAAGATAGCTGGCTCTCACGCAGATGAACACGGTTCAAATCTAAGTTGAATGTTCTTGTTCACTTTTTTATGATTTTGCAGTCGTGTTTTTGAGATCGATAAAGAAGCAAAACAAACTTCCTTAATATGTCGATAATGAAGAGCAGTTCGTTTAATAAATATTGTAAAATTTTGCTTTCCTAACAATAGTTTTCTTGAATCAACTAAAGCATAGTTGTATTTTGAAGTTTGACATTTGTTCATCTACTGAAAAATATAGTTGAGCCAACCGAGGAGCCAACTATGGACTATAGTTGTTGTCCTCTATATATAGTCAAATCAACTATAGTTTCGGGTTATCTCTAAAACAATTGAACAATATAGTTATTTTGACCGGAAAAATAATTGCGTCTGCTATAATTTGTTATCCGTGTTGAGTTGAACACTTTACCCAAAAGTGAGCAAAGTAGCATTTAAATTTAATTAGAGTAAATGTTACCCACTTTGCTAAACTGATGTTCCTCAGTTTTTGACATCATAAAAATATGAAACTGAATAAAAGTAACTATCTTTAGAGTGAAATTGAACGAGCGTGAATAACAATAACAATCTGATGGCATTTGTTTACATTCAGCGTGCATACATTTCTCTACACGATTATTATGTATCACTCACCGAGTAACATTTTTTACCAATCCAAATGCGGCACACTGGAAGAGAAGGTACTTTTGTTGGACAAAAATCAACGCTGATAGAAGAGCAAAGATTTTTTTTTTATATGATTTCACAAATAAATTTCATTTTTAAAACAACACATGAACGCCATGTGTATTTACTTATGCCAACGTCATGTGTGACGCATAGCAAAACACTAAAAAAATGTGCATATAGCGTTTATGTGCCACACACACAGATTTTTGCAATGTGATTGCTCAAATGAATAAATTCTCTAGATAGAGCTGGAATTAGGGCGTAACAGCTTTTGTAAACAATTACTTCTTTCGATAATAAGTTGGCTAGCGTGGGCGTCATAATTACTTACTTAACGATCCTGCGCACCTCCAGGTGTGCAAAGGGCCTTCCCTAATAAACAAATACCATAAACGAACTGTATCCCGGATGGGTAAACTATCCCACAAATGGTTTGGATGATACCCCGAACACGTCGTTAAGCTCTCTTTTATGGTTATTTTTATTAGGGTTTGGGAAAGATTTCCATCCTGGGCGATTACTAGCTTTGGCTAGAGTCGGTGTATAATGAGTCACGCCAAGAGTGAAGCCAAGTCTACCTATTGAACTGTCAAAGCGGCTACCTATCGTGCAAAGTAAATAAACATTACGATGCTATGAAAGGTTCACGAAAGGTATTGCAATAAAATATAAAATATAATCGAAGAAATGAGCATAAACACGCAGTGAGCGTTAAATTGTCATGGGATACGCTCGGTAATGATTAGAAATGAGAATTTCTACTATTTTTTGTTAAGATGCTTTGACAAAATCACTGATATAATGATTTACTACAGCCGCAGTATTTTTTCTCTCGCTAGAAGTCATTTGAAGTTGTTGTAGAAGTCCCCTGTTGCCAAGTGAAAAGAATTGGAATCTTTCGAAAACCGTGATGCGAGTTCAACTGTTTTTCTCTTGGCGTGACTCATTATACACCGACTCTAGCTTTGGCCTTGACCTGTGTCCAAGGCAAATTTCGGTCAACGTTCTTAATTTCACTGTTTAGGCTCCGCCGCCACTAGCCTCTGGGTCTGCCTCTGCTGCGATGTCCTGCTGGATTCCAGTCCAGTGCTTGCTTGCAGATTTCGTTTCCGCTCCGTCGTAGTGTGTGGTCGACCCACCTCCACTTCCGTTCACGAATTTCTGTCTCTATCTGATGGCACAATCGATGAAGCTCGGAATTTGTGATCCAATTGTGGGGCCACCAGGCACGAATTATGTACCGCAGGCATCGGTTGATAAACACCTGCAGCTTCTGAGTGTTCTGCGCTGATACACACCATGTTTCAATGGCGTATAACAGCACAGACTTCATACGTTCGAGTTAAAAATTCGAATTTTGGTGCGTCGACTGATCTGATTCGTTCTCCATACACTATCTGGCTGCCAAGATATTGGAAGCTTTCGACTTTCTCCACTGTCTGCCCAGCTACCGTGAAATTGGAACGGTTTTCCGTGTTGACATCCAACGATTTGGTCTTGTTGACGTTGATGGTTAGACCTGCTTCAGTGGAGCGTTCCACAAGGTCGTCGAGCTTACTCTGCATGTCAGAGCGCCGTTGTGCTAATAACGCAATATAATCAGCCAAGTCGAAGTCGTTGAGATGCTCCATAGTAATAGCATAGAGGTAACTCTAAGACTAGAAGATCCCGAAATAACGTGCTCAACTTTTTGGTTCAGCTCTGGTACTCTCTTCGGTCCCAAGCTAATCGATTCACCCCTCGAAACATAGGAAAATCCACTAATCCCTCATTTTATCTGTCAAACTTTCATAACGAATCAAAACAAACATAGTGTAGTAGTAGGATTTTGACTAGAATGGGGTACGTTAATGGTTTGCTTGGGACCAATAGGCTAGTCAAGTAGTGAGCCAATTTAAAATCGTTAGTTTCGTATTGATTGTTGGTAATAGGCTGCCACAGCAACCCACGGTTCGGTACACGGTCAACGGCTCCAACCATGATCTCGTCGATTACGATGAGGAACAATAGCGGTGATAATATACATCCTTGCCTCACACCCGCGATTACCCGAATCGGATCAGACAAAGTTCCGTTGTGCAACACTCTACATGAAAAAGCCTCGTACTGCGCTTCGATGAGGTTGACGATCTTATCAGGGACTCCCTTGCGTCTCAGAGCGACCCACAAGTTTTCGTGGTTTAGTCGGTCGAAAGTTTTCATAGTCAATACCAAGTACAGGGACTTTTGGAACTCATTGACCTGCTTCAAGATGATGCGGAGCGTGACAATATGGTCCACACAGGATCTTCCAGCACGGAATCCTGCCTGCTGTCGTCCGATTGAGGAAAACTTTACACAGAACTTTGAGAACAATACACAGTAACATGGGCGTCATAGCGTCATAGAAATCATCGAGAGAAGTCATTGTTTACAAAAGCAGTTACACCCTAATTCCAGCTCTATCTAG